TCACCAATATCACCTAATAAAATTTAGATATTATCATCAGATTAAGAAAAATACATTATAGTCAATAACTTAAGGGTTATATCAACATTTCTTCAAGGAGATCCAAACATTCTTGGTACGGACCCTATGGTAAACAGTTCCCTGGGCAAATAAAAGTGAGCCATGCTGTATATTTCATCTCTGTGGAGTTTCCCAAGGTGCAATCACATATTAGAGGCTCTAAAAAATTCTGTATGATAACCTCTCATTCAATCCAGCATTTCCCAAATTTATTTGCTCATGAAATTCTTTTCAAACTAATACCTATTATTCTAAAGAACCAGTGTTATAGTTAGAATATTTCATGGAATCACTAATATTTAAGTGTTTCAAACCTTCATATTTATTCTACTTTTACTATCCTAATTTTAACAGCTTGAATCTTACACCCAAGAACAATTTTGGGTTTTAATTTTCGTTTATTATTTTGTTTCCCTTCCAGAAAGCATTTGAGCAAGAATGACATATCTTTCTTATGATGATAGTATTGCCCAAACCTCCTCTGAGAAGAAGTTCTGTTTCTGCACCAAACAAATGTACTTCTCTGCTGAGGCACATAAGTGCAGACAACTGATAAATGTCAAAGACGAGCACACCTTTTTTCAGGTCTTGTAATACAAGTAGCTTTGGTTCAATAACAATAATTAATATCATGTTAAGTAGGAATAGGACTAATAGGTTATCTTTCTTATTGGATAATTAAGATCAAATGAAATAACATATATGAAAGTGCTCTCTAATCCTCATTACAAGCAAGTAATAAATTTATTATTACAAGTAATAATAAATAAAAATAATTTAACTTCACAGAGGTCTTGCACTAACTTTAAATCACTAACTGTATCACTGCATTTACCTTTTGCTTTTTGACTAGCAATATGCTAGCTGCTTTCACTTAGCTATCATTTAACTGCCTCATTTCCAATTAATATCCAGTTTATTACTTTCATTTTAGTCTCTGATTTATTTATTGTAATACTATAAAAGCCTTTTTTGTGACTTATGAAATGCTATTGCAGACAGTTGAATTAAATTCAATTTTATTGGCATGATTTTTCTGTTTCTTAAACATATTTCAATCCCTCTTTTTTAAGATTTATTTATTTATTTGAAAGTCAGAGTTACACAGAGAGAGGTCTTCCATCTGATGGTTCATTCCCCAATTGGCCACAATGGCTAGACCTGCGCAGATCCAAAGCCAGGGGACAGGAGCCTCTTCTGGGTCTCCCACATGGGTGCAGAGGCCCAAGCACTTGGGCCATCTTCTACTGCTTTCTCAGGCCATAGCAGAGAGCTGGATCAGAAGTGGAGCAGCCGGGTCTTGAACTGGCACCCATAAGGGATGTCGGCGCTTCAGACCATGGTGTTAACCCACTGTGCCACAGCACTGGCCCCTTCAATCCCTCTTTTAAAGAGTTTCCTGGGGCTGATGAAGTGGTGCAGCAGGTAAACCATGGTCTGCAATGCCCAGCATCCCATGTGAGAAGTGCTCCACTTCTGATCCAGTTCCCTGTTAATGTGCCTGGGAAAGCAGTAGAAGATGGCCCAAGTGCTTGGGTCCCTGCACCCATGTAGGAGACCAGAAAGAAGCTCCAGGCTCCTGGCTTCAGCATGGCCCAGACCCAGCTGCTGTGGCCATTTGGGGAGTGAACCAGTAGATGGAGGATAACTCTCTTTGTCTCTCTCTCTTTCTCTCTCTCTGTAACTCTGTCAAATAAATAAATAATTCTTAAAAAAAGAAAAAAAAAAGGGTTTCCTGCTGGAGGTATCATTGCAACAAAGCTGGCTTCTAGAAAATTGCTTCCCATCTCTCACTGATGGCTCCAACTTGCAGAGCTCATTCCATCGAAAGAACAGGTTAGGTCAGGAGGGGTTCACTGTGTGACATTGTTAAGGTTGCTATATCTAAATGAAGAAGGCCAGTAGGCAGCAGGTTTTAAGAGCCTCAATCACTAGGGAAGGGAGCTAGGATAGTGACAGATTTGGAAGTTATTTCTATAAATAATTACTGAAGCGTTAGGGTAGAAGTAAAGGAGGGCTGAAAAAACACAGATGTTTAATAGATAAAAATCAGAAAGAAATGAGGCTGGAAAAGAAACAGAGAGGATAATGTAGCTAGAGCAAAGTGGGCCAAAGGAATTATCTGCAATGACAGAAATACAATAGCCACAAGTCACACTTGGCTACGGAGCACTTGAAGTGTGGTTAAGAAGTGCATTTTAACTTTAGAAATACTAATTTAAATTTATTTTTAAAATTTTAACTAGTTTTTTAACAGGTTCAATATAGTTTGTAGCTAAAATTCTAAGAATATAAGGATATCCCTCCCTCCCCTCCTCCACCGTCCTACTGCACAGGACAGCAGAGAAAGCTGCAAATAAAAGTGACTTCATGGAAGCCATGGGAAGAGAATATTTCAAAAGGGAAGGAATACCCAATAGTAGCAAACATTACACAGAGAACAAGCGAGGCAGGTAAAAAATTCACTGTTTACTGGCATGATCTTTCTTTCTTGTTTCTTAAACATTTTTCAAACCTCTTTCAAAAAGCTTGCTGCTCAGGGCCGGCGCTGTGGCTTAGCAGCTAAAACCATAGCCTGCAGTGTTGGCATGCCAATGGGGCCGGTTTGAGTCCTGGCTGCTCCATTTCTGATCTAGCTCTCTGCTATGGCCTGAGAAAGCAGCGGAAAATGATCCAAGTGCTTGGGCCCTTGAACCCACGTGGTAGACCTGAAAGAAGCTCCTGGCTTCAGATCGGCCCAGCTCAGGCTGTTGCAGCCATTTGGGGAGTGAACCAGCAGATGAAAGACCTTTTTCTCTGTCTCTTCCTCTGCTTCTTTGTAACTGTGTCTTTCAAATAAATAATAAATACATTTAAAAATGAAGCTTGCTGCTGCAAGTTTGGATGCTACAAAGTTGGTGTCTAGAAAATACTTTCTCATCTATCTCTCATCAAAGGCTCCAACCTGCAGAATTCATTCCACCCAAAGAACAAACAGGGTTAAGGTGAGTAAGTGTTATGGGTTGAACTGTGTCACTCAAATGTTCATATGCTGAAGTACTATCCTTCAGTACATCAGAATGAAAACTTACTTGGAAATAGGAACATCAGACATGTAATTATTTAAATGAAAGCATACTAGTGTAGGAGTCAGTTGGGTGCCTTATCTGACTGCTATCCTTATAAAAAGGGAACATTTGCACATAGAAACAGGCACACAGGGAGAATATCATGTGAACATGAAGACAGAGACCAGGGTGGCATGTCTACAAGCCAAGGAGCACCAAAGATTGGCAGCAGAACACCAGAAGCTAAAAGAGGCGTGGAATACATATTTCCCTAATGCCTCCAGAGGGAGCATGGCCTTTTTGACACTTAACACTTTGATCTTAGACTTTAGCCCCCAGAAATGTGAGACAGTACATTCTGCTGTTCAAGCCATGAAGTTGGTGGTACCCTGGTACAGTAGCCCTAACAAATTAATGAAACAAAAATGAGGTCTCTGATACCTGCTAGTTGTTTTCCCATCTCCTTAAATCTTTTTTTTTTTTTTTTTAATTTATTTGACAGGTAAAGTTACAGACAATGAGGGAGAGAGAAACAGAGAGAAAGGTCTTCCTTCTGTTGGTTCACTCCCCAAATGGCTGCAACGACTGGCGCTGCGCTGATCCGAAGCCGGGAACCAGGTGCCTCCTCCTGGTTTCGCATGTGGGTGCAGGGCCCAAGCACTTGGGCCATCCTCCACTGCACTCCCGGGCCACAGCAGAGAGCTGGACTGGAAGAGGAGCAACCGGGACTAGAACCGGCACCCACATGGGATGCTGGCGCCTCAGGCAGAGGATTAACCAAGTAAGCCACGGCGCCGGCCCTCTCCTTAAATCTTAAATCTCTAGAAATCTATATTCCTGTTTATTTAAATCTCAATCTTAGACAACAGAATACAGCTGTAAAACTTGATTTTACGCTGCTTAGTAACCACTATCTGACGATACTAATGATCAACTATATCTTTTTTTAATTTAAATTTTAATTATTTTTTAATTTGAATTTTTAATTAACTTTTAACAGATTCAATATGATTTATAAATACAATTCCTTTTTTTTTAAGATTTTTTTTTTATTTGAAAGGCAGTGTTAGAAAGAGGGGAGGAGAGAGAGAAAGATATCTTTCATCTACTAGTTCACTCCTCAAGTGGCCTCAACAGCTGGAGCTGGGCCAGTCTGAAGCCAGGAGCCAGAAGCTTCTTCTGGGTCTCCCACATGGGGGGCAGGTGCCCATGGATTTGGGCCATCTTCCACTGTTCTCCCAGGAGCATTAGAAGGGAGCTGGAGTGGAAAGGGAGCAGCTTGGACTTGAACCAGTGCCCATATCGGATGTGGGCACTACAGGTGATAGCCTTACTTGCTACACCACAGTGCAGGCCTCTATAGATACAATTCTAACATAATGATATTCCCTTCCACCTTCTTTCCCTTTCACCTTCCTATTTTCTTCCTTTTTTTTTTTTAGCTTTTAGTTTTTGAGGTAACATTTTAAATTTACATTATAGTAAAAAGGCTTAATACTTCACCAAATAAGAAGTAACAACTAAAAAGCAAAAAGACTAATTCAATGGGACTATAGACAACATCTAGCAACACTAACTGGATGGAAGAATGCCCAGTTTATCCATATACAGTACATTTTAAAGTAATCACAGATCATTAAAACTATGGTACTCTAACAATTTTAACCATTGGTTTCATAAAGGTATAAAACAAAGTTTTACAAAACTATTTGCAAAAGAAAGAAATGTCCATGTTTATCAGTAAGATTCACATTTAAACACTGCACTGTAAGATAAACATGAAGAGATCTAAAACACAAGTCATTCCCAAGGAGTTTATAATATTTAGTTACCTGGCCCAAACATTTCTCCATACCATCATAAATTTATGCTTAAAACAATGAGAACACTTACCTCTAGTTTCTAAATTCTTAAGAGTAGCCATTTTTTTCTCTTTAACAAATGAAAATGCACTCCAGGACTTCTATTTAAAAACCTAGAAATGTAAACATATGAAAGAATTAAAGCAATATAATGTCAACATATTCAATGACTGCCTCTAATTTAAGAGTTAATGATATTTTAATTGCTTCTGTACTTAGTACACACACATTTAAATGGGAAGCATAGCTTATATTCCCTTCTCATACCTGGTGTTATGTGTAGCAAATGTCCCAGAAAAATTGGGATGATTTTTTTTTAAGATTTATTTATTTATTTGAAAGGCAGAGTTACAGAGAGGTACAGGCTAAGGCAGAGAGAGAGAAAGGTTTTTCATCCACTGGCTCACTTCCCAGATGGCTGCAATGGCAATCAGGAGCCAGGAACTTCTTCTGGGTCTCCCACATGGATGCAGGGCCCAAGGACTTGGGTCATCTTCCAGCGCTTTTCCAGGCCATAACAGAGAGCTGGATCAGAAAAGGAACAGCCAGGACTAGAACCGGCGCCCCTATGGGATGCCGATGCTCCAGGCCAGGGCTTTAACCCGCTGCACCACGGTGCCGGCTCCGAGATGGTTTATTTTTAAATATTGTTTCACCATCCTCACCAGCACATTCTACATGATGAGAGGTGGGTCCTGAATTTTGGTTCAGCAACATCACTGAAGTCAATTTTAGGGGTTTTGCATCACTGATAGGACAACAGAAATTTTAAAGTAATTACTTTCTCAGGAGAAACACTGAAACAATTCATTATAAGTATCAGAAAGGAGCTTCTATTTAGACATTAAATAACAAAAATATGACTCAAGATAACAATTTTAATTCTTCTGGGAATAAAATTTAAGTGGTAGAGGCTGGCGCTGTGGACTGGGGCCTGCGGCGTCAGCATCCCATATGGGCACTGGTTCGAGTCCTAGCTGTTCCACTTCTGATCCAGCTCCCTGCTAGCGCGCCTGGAAGGCAGTGGACCCTGCACCCACGTGCGGGACCTAGAAGCATCTCCGGCTTTTGATGGCTCAGCTCATGCCGTTGAGGCTATCTGGGGAGCGAACTGGGGGATGGAAGATATTTCTCTCTCTAACTCTCTGTCACTAGGTCTGTCAAAAAAAAAAAAAAATTAAATGATGTTGCTTCTAACAACAGAGAGAAATACACATGGAACAGATACTTTCGGAAAGGTATGCACAACCTTAGAGTATACTCAGATTTACCGGAAAACATGCCAAGGAGGGTGGCACTCATGTGATGAACAGAACAGGTCACTCCCGGCTTCAAAAACGATCAGTGAGTCTAAGGCCTCCCAAGACAGGTTCCTCAACAGTCACAAACCCTCTTCCACTTATATTCCACGGCTCTAAAAACAGGCACCCGGCGTACCGAGTCCTGAAACCGCGCTTTGAAGACCGGCTGCGAAACGTACAGGAGCAGCCAGTCTGACGGCAAATACCCAGGATGCCCAGGAACCAAGGCTGCAGGCGTGGCTGTCCCGGGGATTCCAACGCCAAGTTTCGTTCCTGTCACAACAAGCCTCCCCGGTCCACTCTTTCTCTATACCCGACGCCACTGGCCACCGAGCTCCGACCGACGCGCGCGCCTCTCCAGCGTCACCTCGGAGTTACACAAGCCTATCGTCTAAGTTACCTCGGGATTCCTTTTCTATTTCGGCGGTTTCACGTTACAGGTTCCCGGATTCGCTCCTCGCCCATGCCGAAGCAGACCCGCCCAGGCCTTCCGGACAACCAGCCGCTGTGTCAGTCATGATCACTTCCGATTACCCAGGGTTTCACTTCCGGAATATTCTTCCCACAGAGGCGAGAACACACAGTCTGTGGTGCGTTTAAATTCAAGTAACGCAGACGATACAGCGTCTCGCCTCATCAATGGAAAGCTGGAGAGGGGTTTATTTCAAAATAAAATAGTGCGCTCTTTGGCGCCTAGCCGCGTGTTAACTTAAACTTCCGGGTCATCTGCCAACCAAACGGAAGTGAAAATGCTGGCAAGAGGCGGGAGGCGTCCTGTCGCCCCAGGAGACAGCGTGAAGGGGCGGATCTGTCAATGAGCTGGGCGTCACTGCGAGGACTCCCAGCCACTAGGGACGAAGGGGCTGACCGCTGACGTCTCCCGGGGTGTCCGGCAGGGGGCGGGGCCCTGTTGCCAGAGTAACCGGATGATGGTGTGGATGGCGGTGCCTTCCTGGGGCAACTCGGCTTCCTCGTGCTGAGATCCTGAAACTATGGTGAGTGCTAAGGCCGACCAGAAGAGCCGCTCCGGGTTCCTGGTTACGCAGCTTCGCAAGTGTTGGGTCGATGGGCCCTCGGAGGCGTCCGCAACCCTGTCTTCTCCCCATTCTCTCTCCCCCATTTGCCGTGGGCTGTCCCTGCATTCTCCCCATTCTGTTTCTTGCAGCGCCCTGAATTCCGCTCTAATATTACCGTAAGCCCTTAAAGTAAGGCAACAGAAAGTTTAGGGTTAAGACGCGGAGCCTCAGGTGAGATATTATTTCAAACCAGCCTCCTCTTTTGGGTATGCATTATTCATCAGTGCGTTTTTCAGGCTTGTGGACTTCACAGTAACGTTCCACCTAAAAGGCAGATGGTGGTGTGTAGGTGACTGTGGCAACACTGGCCCGAATCTCGCTAGGGCCTGGAGTCTGCCCCGCGGAGTGCCAGAGCACTGCCCCACACTCTGTAAAGGCCCCTTAATCATATTTGTAGAGTGGATCGGCTCGCTTGCATCCAGCTGACTACCTGCTATGTCCGTGCTGCTTAACAGGAATAACTTTCAGGATCACTTGAGAGCTTCTAGAATTCACTTGCTTGAGCTTCCCTCCTAAATTTTTGCATGAATAGGGATGAGGCTCCATGTTTCCATTTTCAATAAGCCTATAAGTGATTTTGCTGTCTTTCTGCCTGGTTTCTCCTGTTTTTCACCATGTTATTTAATGATACCACTGTATTATAACTGAAACTAGAAATCAGTGACATCCTACATTCCCCTTTCTCTGACATTTCCCATATTCAATTGGTCATTATTTTTGTTTAGAATTTCCTCATTTTTACGTTAGCTATTATATTCATTTCTTTTACAGTCTGGTCTGGCAATTTTCTAATCTATCGTTTTTTCTGCCACAAGGAAGAAGTTACTAAGTTCCCATCTGTTAATGCTACTCACCTCTTTGAAAGTCTAGACTTCCGTTTCCTACAGTAAAGTTTGGAATGGCACACAAGAGGCCCTCCACAAGCTAGCACTTACCTTTCTAGCTTCTTTCTTGGCTGTCCCTTTCCTGGATACTCCTTTTAGCCGTTTGCCTTTTAGCTACTTACTACTGAACATAGCAGACAACTTCAAACTGGCAGTATGTCTCTTCCCTCTGCTTGGCACATGGTACTGCTTCTGCCCTTTTCCCTTTTCTTGCATATGAAACTCCTATTGATCCTTCCAAGACTCAGCTTAAGTGTCTCTCTTTCTGTCATGGCTTTTCCTACACTCCACAAGAGGTAACTGTTTATTCTTTCTTGTCACCACTGTATATAGTACACATTTCTTTTATTGTAGATACCACCTTTACTTGAAATTATTTGTTTATAGCTTTGTCACCCTTCCTAAACTGTGAACTGTTAGAGGTATAGATGTTTACTATGTTCACTGCTATTGCTTAGAGCATATTTGGCACTCAAATGTTTGCTGAATGCATAAGAGAAGAGGAAAGAATGAGGTAAGTGGTCTGAACGAGAAGGAGATTGCAGGACAGAGTCCTCACTTCTCAGCTAGAGCATCGTTAAAGCCGTCATGTGGCAAATGGTAGAGAATATCAGTGCTTAGAATTCAATGACCTGTGCAGTGGCATAGGGAGCTGAAAAGTGACATTCATTAAATACTGTTTATTTTTCCTGTCTGCTACTTTTTGCTTTGTTTGCTGTTTTCACTCAGAGTTTCCGGCAATGCTAAGAGCAAACAGCAGTAAAGTGCTCTGCCTGCCTTCTTTGTTCCCATCCTGGCTGGGGTTTCATGGTTGGTGATTCTTTCAATTAGATGGTCAGTGAAGGCCCTTCTGAAGAAAGGACTTTTGGTATTGAGACCTAAATGATACAAAACGTGCTGATCTGGATCTTCAGGGTGCACTAACAAGATCACAGTTCCTGAGGCAGAAAGGGGCAAGCATAAATTTGAGCAACTTATGGTTTAATAGAGTACAAAAATAGAAACTGGGTTGTGAAGTGGTGCAGGGTTAGCTGCTTTGGGAGGTACATGGGGCAGAATAACATGAGATACAGTCTGTATGCAGATGCCAGACTGTCTGTTGTCTGTCTGTCTAGCTATATATCATCTACTTGGCGAGGCTTATGTTTCTCAAACTGTTGGAGGTGACCTATTATTCTGTCATGAAGTAGATTTGTGGTGTGTAGCCAGCATTAACAAAGAAGACTAACATAGAAACTTACCACATCTACTGCATGCCGTGAGGGTAGCTTTCATGAACTTTTGTTTTAAATTGTATATATTTTGTGAATGTACTGGGTTATGACATAAAACATATTACTGTGAGTCATGATCCACAAAGTTCAAGATACTATATACTTAGAGCAACATATACTTTAAAAGGCAAAGCAGTTAAAATCAGAAGCATACAGATTTGTCTTTTCATCTAATGACAGTGTTCTTAATGTGTGGCAAAGAAAGGAATTTAACAAGAGGCGAAAATTGGCTAGAGTGAAATGATCACATTTCTTTCTGTATCCAGCATCTCTCCTATGCTGTTGGATGTCAGTCCTTCATCAGGAAGGGTGGAGAGCAATCAACCGTGCTCCGTCTAGCCTCTGGTGTCTGTATGGCTGTGAAGATGGGGTCTCTCCATCAGCAACTGAGGATGGTGGCTGTCAGCTCTGCTGGTGGGGTTTCCTGATCACTGCAGTTTAATTGCCTGCTCAGCTTCTCTGCATCTGGCTTGTTACATTTTGGCTCCCAGCACCAGATTTAGGTTATGGACAGAAATTATAGAACCACTTTTATTTTGTGAAGGAGAAATTGGCAACTGTAGCTTAATATGTCTCTCAGATGTTGTTTAAGGTAAAGAACATACTGGAGTCATTGATATCTTTTATGTATAAAGAGGAGAGAAGGTAGTTCTCAGACTCACTTGACTAAGAGATGTGTGAAAGTTCAATATTGTCTTAAATACAGCTTTTATTTGAAGAGTGTCACCTCAGGTAAACTGTTTGTATAAAAAGATTTTAAAGGTAATCAGATGTATTCTGTAAGAGTTAGTCTAAACCTTTGATGTGCAAGTGTCTCAAAGTTGTTATTTTAAACAGAGCCTTTAAAGAAAACCTTATGATTGTTAAATAAAGAACAAGATTTTATTCTATGAAATGTTTTTCAGTTTCCAACTTTGCTTACTTGAACTGGTAATCTGGAAGAATTGCTGTTTTATTTTCTTAAGATGTATTTGTAACTATACTTATTTATATATTTGAAAGTCAGATTTAGCAAGGGGAAGAGAGAGAGAGAGAGAGATCCTCTATCTGCTGGTTCACTCCTTAGATGGTAGCAACAGACAGGGCGGGGCCAGGCCAAAGCCAGGAGCCAGGAGCTTCTTCCAGGTCTCTCACATGGGTATAGGGGCCCAAGCCTTGGGCCATCCTCTGGTACTTTCCCAGGTGCATTAGCCGGGAGCTGGGTCTGAAGTGGAACACTTCTGATATGGGATGCCGTCATTGCATGAGGTGGCTTTACCTGCTAGGCCACAACACACAGAATTACCATTTTAAAATCCCACAGGATTCATCTGGTGAAACTGAATCAGCAAGTATACAACTTAGAATTAGAAATCAGAAACTTAAAAAAAAAAGAACACAAACATTTTCCAATGTATTTTATTACACTTGTAGACCAGAAGCAATTATATTCCTCTTTAACATGAGCTAGTAGTCTTCACAAAACTGAATGGTGGCTGGCTAATATAAGGTCACAATTTTCCTCTCAGGTGGCTCTTTATTTCCTTTTCATTTTTCTGCACTTTAATCCCCATCCTTTCTTTCTCATTCATTCATTGTATACCCATGCAAAAAGCTTTGATTGAATGCTTTCTCCATGCCAGGCACTGGTGTCTATGCGCTGATGAATAAGGTGGCATACAGTGACCCCCTACTTTGTGGAATTATAGAGGAAAGCAAATACTGGGAGATGAATTACACATGTAAGTTGGGTTACAAAAGAAAAATCACAAGGTGAAGTGGATATTGATAATAAAATATAAAATAGACCTAAAGCCTCCTTGATGATGTAACTTTTTGATCCCTTTTTTCCTTAATTGGGGGGAAATAGCATATGTAAAGAAATAAATGAATGAGACCATCTCATATGGTGATAAGCATTATGAAGTAAATTAAATTAAATAATGCAGTAATGACCGGTTCCAAGAGCAAGTAGCCTTAGGCAAAAAATCAGAAAAGGTTCTCAGAAGGAAGTAACTTTTAAAAAAAATGTTTTTTTTTTTTTTGTTTATTTGGAAAATGGAGAGACAGATTGAGTGAGAGAACAAGAGAGAAAGAGAGAGAGAACCTTCCGTCCTTAAGTTCAACTCTCCAAATGCCCACAACAACCAGAGCTAGGCTAGGCTGAAGCCAGCCGTGTGGAACTCAGTCTGGGTCTCCCACATGAGTATTAGGGACCCAAGTAAACAGGACATCACTTGCCACCTCCCAGGGTGTGCATTAGCAGGAAACTGGAACCACAAACAAGGCTGAGACTTGAACCCTGGCACTCTGATATGGGATGCTGGGGTCCTAAGCAGCATCTTAACCACTGTGCCAAGGAGGTAAATTTTAAACTTAGTTCTCAGTAATGAAGTTTGCCTGATGGAGCTCTAGAAGAAAATTCTAGGGAGAATACTAGCAGGTGCAGGGGTGCTACATCAGAGGCACAGCGGGGAGCCAGTGTGGCTGGGACTTAGGGCATTAGAGAAGGACTGCAAGGTAGGCGGATGCTGAGAACAATGAGCCTTACAAAACATGGGAAAGATTTTGGATTTTATTCTTAGTGTAACAGGATAATGCATTCTATATGTTTTACTTACTCCATCAAAATATTTTATTTTCCTTGGATCTGCCTTATTTAACCTCTAACCATATTATTTTGGTCTATCAATGCCTATTTCCATTTTTTTAAATATTTATGTTTATTTATTTGAAAGGCACAGTTATGGGGTGGGAAGAAAGAAAGAGGTTTCTTCCATCT